GATTCCGCCTAAAGTACCAAGGGTGGAAAGCAGCCAGCATACTGTCGTCACACAGCTGATGCTGTGCAAATCCACTGTTGTGTCTCCTCTTCTATACGTCAGCAAAACGCGGATGAAGTGTCGGTAGAATGTGAGATATTTCGAGCGGTTTCATCAACAGTTTTTGCGACGAATTCTGTGCATCGGTTGGTGCAACAGAGTTTCGCACACGTAGGTGCTGCGCTGAAGTAGAATGTATGCCCTGGGCTGCATGCTTTTGTTGATACTAGAGGTCGCTCGGTCATGTGTAGCGTATGGATTCAACGCGGATACCGAAGTAGCTGCTATAAGGTCAGCTGAGTGTGGGAAGCGGCATGTGGGCAAACCGATCCTTCGTTACCAAGATATGACCAAGGTGAGTCTAACTTGTTCTAATGTTGATTTCAGGTGTTAGGAATCGAAGGCGGTTGATCGGCTTGCATAGCGCGATCTGATCACAAAGGCAATTACCGAGGTGCAAGAGAAAGCCCTCGTGGAGGTCTAGCGAGCCACGAGCAAAGCCACTAGTGACCAGTAGCTAAACGACCACGGGTCCTGCTGAGAACGTAGGCACCACCGGCGCAGCGTTGGTAGGCATGCTAGATTCGATTTAGTAACAGCATGCTTGCGCGCTGAATATTTTCAGTTCAGGTGCTCGGTTTGCTGTATTTTCTTAATACTCACACTGTAACCCCATTTTAATGTCTATCTGAATAATCTTCCATCTACTTACACAAGTCCCTTAAACGAAAAGGCTTAACATTTGTTAATCTTATTCACCATTGACCTCTTCCTGTCATCTCGAGTATAGCATGAATATATTGATAATTAGTTTATTTCCTATGTTTAATTAGTGTATGGTTAAGACGGCATATCCGTATGCTTTATCTGATTTATTTTATTTGATATTGTCATTCAAAGTGATTGGCACTTGCTTGACATCCCCGATGTGGTTGCGCTTGGTGTGCACTTTGATAAGGTGCCTACCTGTCTATTACTCACTACCTCGTCTATACTGGCTCCAGGCGATATTTGGTCGTTGCTGGAGGAGATGTGCATGGCTTGAGGAGTGTTTCTATGCGCATGAATTGTGTGTGGAGCGGACTACGGTCCAGCCACCGTCTTGCGTGTGTTCTTGATGCCCAAATAGAACGTGATTGTGTTTTCTTGTGAAGGAGTGTGCGCGGGTCCCGTTGATGGAACTTGACTCCTATCCAAATGCCGCCCGGTCTTATTTCTTCGGGTTTACACTAGATATGGGGTGTGTGGATGGAGCTGTAGGTGGTTCAACGCCAGCCACCCATGGTCCCTCCGTAGGCGCAGGCGTCCTGTGGCTATGCCTATGGATGCCGCAGTGACAGGAAAATCCGAAACAGGATGCAATTAACCATGTATACGGTATGAACAAACGCGACGGTTGTTAATGACAACACAGCCTGCTGAATGACCCCTGTAGTAGCAATTTAAAGAGTAAAATTTAAAGAAAGATAAATCGCTCAGTGTATTAATTTTGCATTGTTCTTTCATACATAAAATACCGCTTTTAGCCCTCAACTCAGATGATAAGAAGAAATACCTAGGTACGACTACAAATGCTAGCCTCTACCCTGTGGATTCACCTATACCATTGAAGCACTTAATTCAACATATGCCGCCTAATTATGGAACGCGAAAGAAGGTGGACCTAAAAAATAATCTAAATAAACTGATCTTCTTCTGGTCGACCTCGTGGAAGTCCCATCGTGTTCCACTACATAAACCGCTTCTGGGTTCATTATTTCGATTTCGTGCAACATATTCCAACCGAGTCAAGCACTGACTAATCCCTGTTTAGCGTTTAAAGCTGTCAGATTGTGTAATTTGGTTAGCTATATTAATGTTTGATCAATTTGGTGTGAGAATAATTAGCATACACAAAACCGGAAGCTTCACCGCAAAAACTTGTGGGAAACTTAACGTGAAATCGTCAATAGACTACGTTAGACAAAAGTAAGCCATCTACAGTGCAGAGTAACATAGGTAGTTTGACTTCGAAATATTCTTTATAGCTGCGTTCCTCAGCCAACATGTTGTGAAAGATGTACCGGGATGTTGATGTTAACTAAATGGCATGACGGAAGATTTATAGCTAAACATTCGTTAGAGTGTTCACAAGAAACTTTCAAAGGCAATCAAGTTTGTATTATACTGTGAGTCTATTCTACATAGTTCTCTTCGTTCCGGTAGATGACGGTGAGTACCAAAAGCGTACACGTTTAGCTGCTTAGAGTGAATATAACTGAAGGTAACCAAAAGTCATGAAAATCCTCTACACACTCAGTAATCCACAAATGACGATAGACTAGTGAGTACCTAAAAAATCAACAATCTCTGACGGCGGGTTATGAGAGTTAAGCCAGTTTGAATAATAAATGTATATCAAAAATTCGTTGAAAATAGTTTTTCTTCCCAGCTTATAAGGATTCAGGTACTTACGATGCTGTGCAGCTTGTGTTTTCTGATTTGGACAGCGACTCGTTTTGGCAAGTTGATTTACCGTATTCTGATGATGCACTGTCTATATGATGTCGCGTAGCATACAAGCTCTTCTGTTGCAGTTGGCTCTCATTTCGGATTCGTTTTTTAGCCAAGCTATTTTGCCGGATGAGCACAAGACAAACGTCCCCAATAGAGATCAGTCGGCATTGTAAACCCCAATGTTTTGTTGAAGCTGCCGGGTCGACTGAAGACCATCCCTGTCCACAGACGAACAACGGCTTATCTCTAGAAGCAGTTAGAACCAGTCGCTTTTGCTAAAAGGAAAGGAGGTATTAAGGATTCTTTTAGCTAATGTTACTCGAGTTGCTAAACAGTAGTGCAGCATAACTAAGAAGTCGAATAAAAATCTTAATGATCTCTTCCTTGCAAATATCACAAAGATTAATTTTGCTATTTTGTAGCCTTTTACTACAAATCAGTTTCCTTTGAATAGAAATTGCCTTTTACTCAATGGGGCATGGGTGTGGGTTGATTTAGCGGTGTAAATCCGTGACTTCGAATCATTCTGGTCATCTAATCTTGGTCAATTACTAGCACCAGACCACTTGTATACTTGGGAGGTGTCCTCTGTCTGGCCCCCACAGGCTGAACGCTCAGCATTATCTTAACCGACTTGACATCGCCCACAGCAGTTTGGCGCAGTTCAAGGATGTTAGTCGTGTTTGAAACCTAGTTACGGGGTGGAGACGTTTCTGGTAGCAAATTGATGTCCGCTCTTTTGGTCTCACGTGCTGCTCCTAACTATAATCCCTCTTAACCTTCTCTGTTCGCGAGCAGGTCCCCAGGGACACAACTCGACAATCAGCACTCGCCTCAGGGCAAATGACACACTAATGATTTAATAGTGAAAGGATAGATGAATGGCATAACGTGATTGTCTTTATAGCTTTATCACTCTCTGAATTGACCAAACCCAGTAATAGCCTGAAGAGTCCGTGAATTGTGGAGACAGGAGTAAACCGAAACTTGGCACCTTTGCCCAGTGGTCCTCGGTATTTTGAACAAAACTTGTGCACCGGCTGTGTAACTACATTTTTTACTTTAATCGAAATCTAAATTCACTTATCTGCCTATCTGGTTAGTATATTTATGCAAAAGTTAATATAGGTGGCGGTTTATTGATATAGAGAATGGAAAGTACAATTAAGTTAGCAGATGCACCGTCATTAACTGGGTCACAATGGGAAAGCCATATGACAGCGAGGTACATAGAACAAATTTGCAGCATTATTACGGCTTCAGTTGTTTAGACGCTAACTAATAAGAGCACTCTGCGTGAAATTTACACGCACAGCTCAAGTTACTGCATTTGTTTAGAATAGTTGATGATGCAATGATCATAGATAATGTGAAACACCGCAGGGAAGTGGCCTAGTTGAAACCGCTGCTGACTAGTTGAAAACATAAGGCGATAGTGTGTATGGCGAATGGAAATTTTACCACTAGTTCTTCCACATAACAGACTGGTATGTGCACAATTCCTTTCTCCTCGAGCGAAGAGAGATGCCATGAGCTATTCCCATGCCAAAAACACTTATCTCGGCATATCTAGGTAAATCACAGGCATTCCGTTTACAGTGCACCAGCGAAAATTCACTGGGTGGATATAACTTGTTCTTCAAAATATAATCTTCAGGCGAAGACAGGTTGTTTAATAGTTAAAAAGCGTAGCTTTAAGGAGTACAAACTGCTATCGTACTTCCTTTACCGAACGATGAAAATTTAATCCTCTCTTTAAGTTATCAAAGACAAGCAGTGTGTATCCAGCTGAAAATGTTTGGAGGATAGACTGAAAATGGCCCGGAGATTGAAATGGCTAGCAAGCACGATACATGCATTGTCTTAAGTGGTATCTTATTCAGACAAAATTTAAGTTAAACTTCTTGTAACTAATTATCATCAGCGTATTACAGAAAGATATAAACCTGCATTTCAGAGCATAGCTAATAGATTAATTTCCATACACCTCATGGAAATAAGTGCACAGTTTTTAAAATCGGGTTTGGAGTATCAGCTGTATGTTTGATTCGCAGAAGGCTTGTTCTTTTACTGAAAGCTCTATATAATATGGAGTACAACTAGGTCATTCCGCTCAACAAAAGCCTTTTTGGTGAAATTCATGGTGAATGTAAATATGTAATCTGATGTTATGCATACTTGCCTAGCCTCGAATTTGCTGCGCTGGAGGTTGGATTTTCCTGAATTATTGCAAGCACTAGTGTCACGTTTGTGCATCAATCAGTTAAGCCATTATCTTTTAGTTTCCTTTTGACAACATGATTTGTGCTTACGAAACTAAAATGGTTAGCGCTAAAGGTCATCTGGAAAGCTCAATAAGCCACATCGCTGCAATATATTATACAAAGACAGGCATGAAATTCTCGGCTTCTGTGTGCTTTTCCTATTAAGGCTTTTGATTACACTTTTTGGACATCGATAAAAGATTATCCACTTACTTTGAAGCTCTTGTTGCTGAAGCGTGGCCAAAGCATTCGTACTGAATGCTTACTCGCAAATCGTTCCCTGCATCCGAGGACGACACGATGTCTTTTTGACGGGACGTTGAATAACAGCTTTATTAAATTCGCATCAGAGTGCTTTCCAATCGCATCCAATCTGACCCAGGACAATTCAGTGATGGGTATTTTTGGATGACCAGATGTGAAGTCTAAAGTCGCGTCCCTTAACTTGGAGTTTTCCTCTGCGACAGCGCTGGCTAGGAAATCAGCCACATTCAGCTGTTCAATTGCTTTAAGCTCCCCGTTGACTAAGCGAACCAGCTGATGTCTTGAGGCTTTTCTAGATCTCAGCTCGGAGTAATCGGTGCAACTGTTGATTTTTGCAGATGATTGAGCCGAATGTCTGCCGCCTTCCGTAAATTGTGGAGCCTGAATAACAGGAGTAGTTGGCACATTTTCCAATCTCTTCCATTCACAGCCATTATTCCTCATATCACTAGTCGTCGGTGGGCTAGCAAAATAGGGCTCTGGTGTGGTTTGTTGCTTGAAATATCTGCGACCGGAAAACTGGGAAGCGTTTTCCGATTGTATACTAATGTCCTTACTTACTGTTGGCTCGTGATATGCCGTCATGGATATGATGTGGTTTAGATGTTGCACAATATCTTTAGCGGAATAAGAGTTACTAAAACGCGGCAACATATTGTAGCTTCCTGTGTTCACTTTATGACCGACGTCAGACTGCTCTGGTTTTTCCTCATTATAATCATAGATTGGGCCGACGTGTGATCCACCACAAAATGGAATATACGTAACCCATGGAATTGGATAAATCCCCCCAGAGTTGCTCGCACGATCGGTCACTGCAATGGGTTGCTGGTCGTGATGCATACTCTTTGCGTATTCTTGACTCCGCATAGGTTGATTATGATCCATTTGCCCGAAGCTGCTCACTGGGGACATACAACCACGATAATATGAATACAGTTTGCTCAAGAGGGCCATCTGGGCGTTTGCATTGCTCGCTGAAAGAAGCCGGTAAGCACCCTGTTCTGATATGCAATTAAAGTATAGCTTGTCGAAGAAGGGAGTTTGAGGAAGCTGTAAGACTGGAAGTGATGTGGGCGGATTTTTTAGATCAAGTGGTTCATTAAAATTCAATATTGGTTGTTCGGCATCAAGCGTTTGTTTTAAAACGTACGGTTGTGTTGGCCAACCTCTAGAGGCTTCCTCAGATTTCACGGTAGGTTCTAGATTTTGCAGGTAGGACGCGTTCACATTATGGTCGTGCTGGGTAGCAAGAGATAGATGCAGATCCTTAAGCATTCTTACTGATTGGTTGGTCAGCTGTAAATGGAAAGAAGTAAACTGTAATAAAATTTTGGTTCGCTAAAGTCGCCGCACCTCAATTAAACGAATTATACCATGATGGGTGGACTCAATTATCTGTCAAATGTATCCTGGTCTTTAGATGGCGATTCAGTTTAGTTGACTATGTTAATACTGACTTTCGACTACGGAAGGTGTCGTTTAACACAAACATTGTAAGCAATACTAGAAACCTGGATAACAATAAACCGTATGAATGGCAGTGATGAATAATTATACAAAGGGTAGTTGCACATGGGATTTCGACCGATCCTAACGCTTAACAAATTTTAAACAAATTTCGAGGTAATCCGGAATTGTCGATTATGGGCTGCTGGATGGTACTTTAAGAACCAGCTGATCAGATCCACATTATCACATAACTAATTATGTTACTTTCTCCGTAGCTGGTTCAATATAACTCCATGTCGCAGACTGGTATCAACATAGCTATTGTTGCAAAGCAGGCACGGCGGTTCCTGCAGCGGCCTGCTCGTAGTCTTTATCAGCGCTTAAAGTTTAATGGAAAATATGGTTAACTCTGTCTTTACTTTGCATCTGAGCGACCAGAGTTAGTGGAACTCGCAGATACCTGACTGAATTCCGAGTGGACTGCGCAAGAAAACGAGCTCATTGGCTACGCATGCTTCTACTGCGATCGACTGTCGATTACCAACGGTGGAATCTACTCTACGTCCGGTCTTCTTTGTGTAGGAGACTTGCGAGACGCTTCAGAAGCGTTGATGATCTATGAGCATATACTGGGCTCGATACACCTCAGGCTCTGAGAGCAGCTAGTGGGTTCAATTTGTAGCCATCCACTGAGCCACGTGAGCCGTTCCCGTGGGTGATTTCAAAAGTCCTGGAGTATGTTGTCGTTAAATTCAAATCATACCCGGACATTGTGAGGTCGAAGCATAACTGCTGGACTCAGTAGTTGAATTGGAGTGACGCAACACATGTGCCACCCGACTCGAATAACCTAGCGCTCAACTCCGTCGTGCCTAGACTTGATGGTAACATGCTGTGAACAATGTGCTTATGAGGTTCAGATCTTGAAACCCTTAGCAGCACCGACACCTCAGTACTGATAGGCAGGATAGATCTATATTTACCTTATTCCCATCCATTAGAGCCAACTTCCAACTACTGTGTAGCTGACTTCAACGGTATAACACGAGCCGCCAGCCATGTAGCTTGGTCTCTGCTACAAGCTACATCTGTGAAAGACTGTTGGATTGCTAGAAAAAAAGAAGTGACATCATTTTGTTCTCGATTTTTTCCATAAACTAGTCAAGCCACATTAGTTCCCCATGCAAAATGGTAAAATTGCTGGGTGGCGCTTCTTTTAATATCTACGAATCGAATAGGAGGTAAACAAATGCTTGCAACGTTGCACAGTCGTAAAAAAGCCGGCATTTCTAGGGGCAGCTCACAGCTGTAGCAATGATCGCTCCGAAGCGAATCGTTTTTACGTGGAGCGGCGCCAGTGTTAGAAGGCTACAAAGGACAGCCCCTAACTGGCAGCATTGAGAATGCTTCGGCCTTGGAGGCTTACTTCGCTTCTATGTATGAAAATGACCAGGTGTCTATACAAAATTCTACGTGTAACGGATTTAATGAACTCGACATTCTGGTTTGCAGTGAGGAAGAGGCGTCAACTACTCGTCAACCTTAACGACCACAAACCTGCTGGACCTTACGTATTACACCCACTGATTCTCAAGTCCCTATGGGCCATCATCTCTTCTTCCGTAACTGACCTGTTCAACAGGTCACTGTCAGAAGTTTCATTGCGATTGCTTTGAAATGCCCAGTAGCAAAAGCGATTCAGCAAGCCGTTGATCTCAGCAAAATGGACAACAACAGTCCAATTTTTCTGACACGCATTTAGGCCAAGCTTTCCGAAAATACCTGAATGAGAGTCTGTGCATCTGCTCCAATTAAAAGAACTCTTGAAACCAGTATAGCTCGGTATCATGCGAGGCCGCTCGTAAGGAGTAGTTAACGGTTGCAGGCAGTGAACCACGGCAATTCTGTCAGGTAATCTACATTGATTTTAGCAGGGCGTTCGGCAAGGTAAAATATGGGTCTCCCACCACAAGCTGTTATTTTGTGGTGTTGGTGGATAACTGCACCAGTGGATCCGAGGGTCTCCTGTTGAACGAAAGTGAAGGCTAGGGGTCGACGGCCACCCAACTTACTGGCACATCGCTAGTAGTGACATATACTAAGGAAAGGTGCTGGGTACAATTTCTTCCTAATCCACGCCAACGATCTACCTGTTTCTTCGATTGCCGTGTGCCCTGTTTGCGGTCCACCTGTAGAGTTGGAGAGTGATAAGCACCCCCGACGACCGACCTAATTTAGCAAGAATTCAACAGCCTCTTCATGTGGTCTTCAGAAGTACGCCTCCTGATCAGCGTAAGGAAGTTGGCATTCATCAACCTTGGGAACGGTGGTGACCACTGAATTTACATCACTGACGGTCATCCGCTACATCCAATGCTGTGCGTGAAGTGCCGATGTGTACTCACGCACTGCGATTTGAAACCCACAGATAATGCGAACAGGTTATATCGTACTAGACTGCGCAGCCCTTGGTTACTCAAGAGCAGCTTTTGTACCTGTCAGAAGAGGCCGTCACTCTGCTCTTCTCCTTCATCACAAAATAAAATTGCTGGAGTAAGGCTAACCCATCTGTTGTCCAATCAGCTGGAGCACGACACAGTAAATTGAATTGGTCCAACACATGACTTCCAGGTCCACGGCTAGTTTACGAGAATTACTATATGAAGACTGATGCGAGAAACAAAGAGCTGCGCATGAAAAATGAACAATGGTTTATCAGGGATAACAAAGTATGTGCTTGACAAGTCTTGTAAGATGACTGGAGTAAAAGCTAAAATAATCAATTGGTATGTCAATTGTCACTCTAAGCGTCTACCGATGGAACTGCACCGCTGCATGACTGTAGTTAGAAATTAGTAATGTATGTACGCGCACAAAGCAATATGGACAGCGGTTATAGTTCAGGTTATCTGTGATAAAATGATAAGTAATGGAAATGACAGTAGTCACTCGTGTGCGGCTTCTTTGGGCCCATGAGATACGTAAATCCAGTTTCCTAATTAGCAGCTTTCATTAAACGATATGCAAGAAGTGAAAATGGACACCTGGAATTGTAGTGTTAGATTGACGCCCGGACATAGTGGGTGCTCTAGAGTACTTTATGTATGAGTGCAGCATCGAGACGCTTTTGAATACTGTTAGTGTGGGGTTAGAAACAATTTAACTAAGGAGGGCTTTCCATGGCTGACGCAAACGAAGTGAAAAGAAATTACAGCGGCCTTCCAACCGGCTATATATAGTGGCCAGCCTCAACCTGTGACTTCTTAGAGTGGTATTGCCATCCATGCTATAGTTGACTACCAACATGGTTTGGTTTCCAAAAATCCAAAATGTCATTATCATATCGCCACACAGGCCTGCATAATGTCCACTGTAAACCCTAAGCGTTTTCAACCTGAGTTTGTAAGGGAGATGAAAGAGACCTTTTACATACTTGGTTTCTCTTCGTTGGTGCAGTTCAACTGCGGTGAACTCTTGCTTGTGCCAGGGTTGTCAGGCGTGTATGGCGCATTCCGAATGCTGCCGATTGAAGGCACTGAAAAGTTGAGAAGATAGAATGGTCAAAACGCCCGAATACGCTCCGCACAAGCCTAACGTGTTGGCTTGCTTTTTTGGACCTCTTATCGGCGTAACTTGAACAGCAAAGATTCTCTTGTACTATCAGACCTAGATCATACTTAGTAGAAACATGATGCAAAACTTGACCCAGTCGTCTGTACTGGCAAGTGGATTTACAGCGTTTTCTCAATGTCTTTTACTTGTTGGAATTGAAATGAAGCGGGTTCTGAGTAGCCCATTCGTATACCCTGTCGAGTTCATTCTGAAACGCTAGGTGGCCACTGGTTGTTTTGATGACCCACCATATCTTGAAATCATCAGCGAAGAATAAGTAATTATAACTGACCACTCTCGCGTGATCGTTTATGTTAATCAGGAATAAGCGTGGACAAAATACGGATTCTTATAACAATCTGCATTGAATACCGATATGGTCAGAGTTGTTGGTGGGAACTCCCAAATTCAGATGTCGTCAGATCAGATAGTTCCCTATCCAGCCGAGAATTGCGTTACCGGTTCTAAAGCTCTCAAGCTTGTGAGTGACGATGCGGTGATTCTGGTGGTCGAATGCTTTTGAGCGATCCAGCTAAACTGTGCCAAGTCCCACACTGCAGTCAACAATCTCAGTCCAGCCGGAGGTAGCAAGTAGCAGATTTGTGGTGCAATACCAGTTCCAGCAGAATCCATGCTGTTCTGATGCTATGATTTTATATGCTTCCAAGTGATTCATAAGCGCTTCGGCAATGGTAGTTTCCTTGAATTGGATAGCACTGATAAGAGAGTTATCGGGAGATGGCTGGATATGTACGATTTCATCCTTGTGAATGGGGGCAAAGTTTCCATGCTTCCACCTTGTTCGAACCCACATTTCGTCGAGACATCAATAACAGAAGTTAGTGAGTGGTTCCGCCAAATTTCTTGCGGCTAACTTCAGCGCTTTTGGTCGGATCACATCGGCACCAGGAGCGGTAAGCATCTGTAGGTAAGTCAGCATTTTAAGAACATCTGTATCCATAAACGAGATAAGGCTGAATCCTGGTGGTGGTATAACTTGCGTGAACAGCAAGGACAAAGAAGCCGTCTTCTGGAAGTTTGGAAAAATCGCTGACATCTGGCATTGACCAGTTCTGTTGTAGTTTGTGCTGCTCCATTTGGCGTGCGAAGGACAGGAATCCTTGCTGCACTTTAAGGAGCTTGTCAACATGTAGGTAAAGGAGATTGGGGTTTGAAGAGAATTGCCCAGCTATATCTTGTTTGGTTTACGCAAT